CCTATCTATATATTCTGTTGCAACAAATTTACTTTAAATTCTTTATGTGAAAAACAAGACTTCTTTTTATAACTTCAAAATAATTATATTAAATGCGAATTTCGGCAGAAGATGAGTCACGCATTAATGCACTTTTTTTTTGTAAAAAAGAAAATGTTTTTAAAAGGGGAAAGTAAGAAAAATCCTTTTAACAAGGAGACAAGCACAGTTCGATTAAAATTAATAATTAAATAATATAATAAATGCAAAAGCTACTAATACTATACTAAAATTGATACTTATTCTCATTGGGATCGATGGTACAGAAAGGGAAATTTTCAGCTGGTGCAGCACTCTTGGTTAGGACATTGAAAAATGTCGACTTGCCAACGTTGGGTACACCAACGATACCAATGCGAAGATTGGTACCAATACGACCAATCAATGGTTTACGTTCAGGTTCTTCATGTTTCTTGGGAGGCATGATGTTTTTTGTTGTTTGTTTTAGTTGTGACCTCTAAAAAAACCTGCAAATAAATAAATGAAACATGTCACTATTAATTCCCACACTCACACTCTATTTTTAAACTTAAAAAATCTATTCCTATACACTAAGCAGCCACAACAACAATTTTAATAATTTTAGTTGTCTGGCAAAACGAACGAACGCATCTTTTGTTGAAGAGACAAGCATAACCTCACTTTAATTTTATGGAAACAAATAAACCATCACACAATTGTAATACTTTAATTTTCATTTAATTTATACAAAATAATATCTTATTTTTCACAAAATCTTAGTAATTTTATTAGTTTTCAATAAATATGTTGAGAAAATATTTACTTTTTTAAAACGTTAGTACCCGGCTGCAATCGTTAAAACGATTCGCGTGTTAACAGAAGAAAGAAAAAAGAGAAACGTCAAAAAACATCTGACGATGACAACAATTGTTTTGGGGTGTTTTGTTTTGTGCGCTTCTTTCGTTGTTTTATTTTGGTTTTCAATTTTATGTGTTGAGGTGTATTTCTGTGGTAAATGTGGTGGAAAACAAACAGTTTTATCCGTTAAGTATGGATTTTTTTAAAAAGAATTATAATAAATAAATTAAAAAACGATTTTAGTTTATAAATTGATGTTAGGTAGAGGCTTATTTAAGAAATTAGAGCCGATTTATGTTTTTAATAGGAAAAAATCGATTTTTGGTAAGAAATAAAAGTGATCACAGATTTTCAATATTTTGTTGATTGGAGGCTTTTTTAAGGAGCTTGATTCGATTTTAGTTTTTCATATAAAAAATCGATTTTTGGTAGGAAATAAAAGTGATTACAGATTTTCAATATTTTGTCGATTGGAGGCTTATTTAGGGAGCTAGGGCCGATTTTAGTTTTTCATATAAAAATCGATTTCTGGTAGGAAATAAAAGTGATCACAGATTTTCAATATTTTGTCGATTGGGGGCTTATTTAAGGAGCTAGAGCCGATTTTAGTTTTTCATATAAAAAATCGGTTTCTGGTAGGAAATAAAAGTGATCACAGATTTGCAATATTTAGTCGATTGGAGGCTTATTTAAGGAGCTAGAGCCGATGTTAGTTTTTCATATAAAAAATCGATTTTTGTTAGGAAATAAAAGTGATCACAGGTTTTCAATATTTTGTCGATTGGAGGCTTATTTAAAAACTAGATCCGATTTTAGTTTTTCTTAGAAAAAATCGTTTATTGGTGGGAAATAAAAGTGATTACAGATTTTCAGTATTTTGTAAATTGGAGGCTTATTTAAGGAATTAGAGCCGATGTAATATGTAATGTTCCCATCTCTGAAGAGAATATTTGTATTTCAATATATTGTTAAAAACAAAAGACTTAAGACACCTTCAGTTTTAGGTACAACATGTAAAACTGTTTTAAATTTCTTGTCCCAAAATATTATTCAAACCGCAACCACATTTTTATTGTTTTTGGTAAATGTTTATGAATTTTTTTACTGTAACTGACCACATATTTGTTGTAATTGTTTTGCTTGTTGTTGTGTTTTTTTCCATATTGTCCTTGAAAAATATTTTGTGGTATAGAAACATTTAATGTTTTTTTAAATGTTATATAACATTCATTGACCACATGATAAACGATGTTGTTTATAAGAATTATTCCTTAATTAAAAGCAAATTTTATGCTTGAAATATTTTAAAGTAAATATTATTGAAAATAAAAGCTAAAACCGTTATGAAATTTATTTAATTTTAGAAAATTCGTTAACCGTTGCTTTCTTTTAGTTTATTTTCATATTGATATTTTATTTACAAAGACTTTGTCTCTAAGTCTACTGCTGCTTATCCAATGAAATATTTTTGTACACAAATTATAACACAAGTCAGCAAATTACTTGTACGTGATACACCTTTTTAGTTTGATTCTTAATCCGTGAGTTTGTTTTTAATACTTTTTAAATCACTTGAGGTACAAACAAATGTATTGACGATTTAAAGTTTGGCCGTTTTCAATTCAAGGACCTTGACCAATGCAATGAACATATTATGCTTTCACTCTCTTCTTTAACATCAAATCTGTTTATAAAAAAATTTTAAATTCCAAAATGTTTTTCAACTTAAAATGAAAAGATTTCATGTTAAGCAGCCATAAAAAAAGCACAGCGTTATTTTGATGTAATTACTTTGCAAATTATGGATAATGATGAATCAATATGTTTAAAATGGTTTGACCTTAAAGATTTCAAATGCTTTGGTTAAGAATGTATCCCAGCAAAATATATATTTTACTAAATAGATTCTAATATAACAAGAAGAAAAAAAAAAAATATTCAAGATCAGACATATCTAAAGATGTGTAGACAAAATCTTGTGTATTCCGCAGAATTTCAGAAGAAAAATTCGTACTAGCAACCATTTTAAGCATCAAAATTTTAACATTAGTGAAATGATTTTATTAAATTTTATTTGTACACCCGCATCTACATACTTACATAACAACGCCTACGCCATTTTCTCAACAAATCCACCCCTCTGGCATAAAAATTTACAATTGCCTTGAGCAACTCCTCCCTAATTTTCTGTTTTTTTTTTTTTAATTGCTATCAAAAATTAGTTCATTATTATGAGTACAAGAGCATGTTTAATCGCCATGAGCTTTTGCTGTATTAACATTTGTTTCAATTTTAATTATTAACTTTTAAACATTGTTATAAAATCAACCAGCAGAGGAATTTTATTGTAGCTTTTTTTTCTTATTTGCTTAATTAACCGCCATTTCGCATAAATTTATTCGGAATTTAAGCTAATTTTCCTGAAATAAATTAATTCAATGTATTGTGTTGTATATACTTTTGGTTGTTAAGACATTCGTAGAAATATAAAATTATATTTAAATGTGCCATTTTGTTAGTTATAGAATGCAGTTATGGGCAACCTTTTTTTCCAAGGTTGTCCATAACTGCAAGAACAAGTTATAGTAGTAGAAGAGGGTAACTATAAAAAATAATCTTGAAATGTAAAGAGTTCAAGAATTGGAAATTTGAAGGAGCAAGAGGAAATTGGAGACGAAAGGTCACAGTTTAGATGGTAGTATGTCCGTACCAATAACAGAACCCAATAAAAAGGTATTCCGATTTCTATACAACTGCCTGTGGAAGACTGGCAGATATGAGATCGAATCGAATCTTCCTTCTCTTGACTTCTGCAGAAGTCTTTGTGAGTTCATTTACCCATATTGCTGAGAATAAAACAATTCCTTACGGCATCATTCTGGTCATAGTCAAAACAAATAGGTTTATATTTCTCGAAATGAGAATTCCTCCCATGTATTTATGTATTATAGTGGATCCTTGTATTGATACTCTCTTCTCTGATCACTTCCTGAAGGAGTTTAAAGAAACTTCTGTTAGCGTATGCAATAATCGAAGGGTTTAGTTCTGTTGAGGTCATTCTCAAAGCCCTTATAGTGACAATTGCTATTATTCTTTAATACTCTATTACCTTGGTGAATCGCCTTGGATAAGAGGTGATAACAGTATCTGTAGTATGCAGAGATTAGAAACTAATCAGGGTTTATTATCTGCTACCTATATTACAAGATACTACCGCATGATTCATCCTTTACTGGTTATTGGTGGTGTCCGGTGCTGTTTCATACTCAATAGAAATACTTAAAGGATGGACTGGGGGACTACATGTTGCTCGGAATGAGTTAATATCACAAGATTAGTATATATAGCTTGTCATTCACCCGCACATTTATACATATATCAATGTGAGGTGGCGATATTAGCAATACCAACGTCAGGATTGGGCACTTATATGCCATTGAGGGAATTTGTCTTGAAATCTAGGACAATAATCGAAATATGAAATAAACGTATTCTTTTTGAATTATCAAGGCTTGCAGATTTACGCTAAGAATTCACCGCCTATTAGCTGTCACTACTTGGACTATAAATAGTACTTTGATGCGAGTCAGGAGAATTAACAACAGCAGAAGGTCTTATGGTTCTTTGCTCCGGGAAACCAACGAACAATTTGCCTCGATCAAGTGACACCGGAAAATTTACAACAGCAGAAAGTCTTGCGATTCATTTCTCCGAGAAACCAACGAACGAGTTGCCTCGTTCAAGTGATATATGTTTCATTTCATCGAAACAGGTGAAATGCAACCAAATATTTTGGAAACCTTACTCCGTTGGGATCATTACTACTAGAGTGCGCAGCAAAGCTCGGAATATTACGTCTGATCATACCTCTATTATCACAGAGTGGTCCCTGTTTGTAAGGAAGCTATGTCATGGCTTATTAATGAAGATCGTACTTCGGTCTACCAAAAAACAAAGCCCATTACAGTAATGTGGTTGAATATGTTGTCGAGGAAGGTAAAGAAATGCTCTCAAAAGGGTCTTATGTATTTTGAGCAATTATAGGGAACCTGTACCGAATGCAACTGATTCAAAGAAAACATTTTACGAAAACGCACAAAATATTATGAAAGCGTAGTTAATATGACAAATCTCGGGCACATGTTGTTATTCCTATTAAGATGTATTTGGAATGTTTTACCTAACCCGTCTTATAGTCAAGACCTTGCTCCATCTGAACTGGTTATGCCAAATTGGCTTAATTCGTTAATGGTCTCGAAGGATGCGTAGTTCTTTCGTTGCGTACTTCATATGTTTCCAGAAAGATGGGAAAAGGTTATGGCTAATAATGATTAAAAGTTTAATACAGAGTTCTAAGAAAATTTGTAATATTGATTCTATATACTTCGCCCCTATTCGATCTATTCTTGCCCATACCAGCTATCAATTCAAAACAATTGTACAATGATGACTGCAGTCTTGAAATAAATTCGTTGTGCATGTTCTATGTCAGTTAAAGCAAAAACAGTATATTTTAGATTTCCATAATTATGGGTCTACATACAGCCACAATACGAATATATTTTATAAATATGAAAATGAATTCTTTAATAAATTTATTTATTTATGCATACATTTCTTTCTTTTTCTATTCTTTAATTGTATTTTTATGCGTTTTTTTTTCCTCATTAAAAAAAATTTATTTCCCGCTAATTAAAGTCATTATAGTTTTTCCATCATAAACTAATACGCATTTGGAAATTTAAGAAGAAAAACCACTACAAAAATGGTGGTATTTAGAGGCGAGTCTTAAACGCAAACAGGTGAATATAACTTATTGTGAGTTATATTTCGAAGAATAAAAAATTATATGTTAAGAAAACTTTTTTTGATGTTACGAATTGGTAATAAAAATGTTATATTTTTTTTTGTTTTATTATTAATAATTATAGAGTACAAATTAAAAATTATGTATATTCTCACAAGGCTGTTAAGTTAATTTTTGTTAACGTTTAAAAATGAACTACCAAAATTTGTTATGTATGTTAATGAAATAGGTCAAGCTTGACCAAGTGAATACAATTTAAAGGCCCCATTTTGTTTTTGTCTAAAACAATTCATATTCA